CGGTTGGAACTGGGGCTGCCTGCGCAAGCGCTCGCGCCCTCGGCCTTGGCTGCCCCGGTGTCTTCCCGGGAACTGGAGCTGGCGGGATCGGAGCGGCACTCGCGCCAGGCTTGCGCCCAGCTGAGGTGTCTGATAGACGTGCGATCGTTGCCAGGCCCGTTAACCTTTGACCTCGGGAGTCCTGCTTCTGCAAGGTGAAAGGTCATTTAGTTTAAGGAGAACATTAAAACTCTCCCCAAAAGCAGGTGAGCAGAGGGATGTGAGGGGTGACCTCAGACCAACTCCTGTGCCCTCCCTGTGCCCCCGTCTGAGGGCAGGGGAGTGGGACACCTCAGTGAGCAAAGCCACGCGCTGCAGCAGAGCGGGCTCTGGGTCTGATGACTGTTTACAAACGATGTGATAAATGAACCAGAACACAGGGTGGAGGTGGGCCTGCCCCGGAGGTGGGATACTTTAGCTTAACAAGTGCTGTGGCCTCCACAAAACCCCTGGAAAATGACAGCACCCTTCCAGCTAATCCAGAAACCAGAGGAACTGGAGAGTGATACAACTAATCAAGGATTTCCGAGGTCTCTGTGGGAAGCTGTGCCCACAGGATTAAAAAAAAAGCAGACACTAATTACGGCCCAATTACTGAGCCTGGGCTGCAGCACAGTCCTCAGCGAGTATTTTCCACGGTCACACAGGAGACGTGCTAGGAGCGAGCCTTTCTGGAAAAGCCGTCAGTGAGTTGTGCAGTGTATGTCTGCATTAATTAACGAGGTCTGTCACAGAAGTACGGCAGGAGATTGGGGTCCAGTGGCAGCAAGGTCTTACAGACACACTACCAGCCAGAGTTAGGAGACATGTCTTGGTTGGGCCCTCCCTTATGATCCTCTCGCCTTCAACATTCCTGAGAGTCTTTTTCTCATCTGCAAGTTGTGAAATCATAGAAGATCAGAAGACACTGTTCCAAGGTTCAGAAGTTAGCTAATCAGTGACATGTTTATTTAAACAATTACTGGAAACCATCACTTCGTGAATGAAAAGTGAAGGGAAGCAAAGCATTTGGGATGTTCGGTTTTATTATTTGCTTATGGCAGCTGCTCCTTCTCAGTCTGCTAAAGCTTCCACTGCAGATGATATCCAGGCGAAGAGTTCCCAGGCATCCCAAGGAGGAATGAACTCCAGTGCAGACACACTGGGTTGGGCAACGCTCCACCTCTGCGGGGTCAGCGTCAGAGCAGACTGGAGGGCCTGACCTGCTTCCCATGAACCCGGGAACCTGGGGCTGCTGTGCCGAGCAGGGAGGGGTGCCCAGACCTCAGCAGGACACAGGGAGGGAGGAAGCGCTGCCAGGCCCCGTGCCACGGCTGCGTGGGACCTGTGCTGGCTGCAGGACCGGGGCTGTGGGGCCGAGCCCGGCTGTGGAGCATCCCTGTTGGGCTGCTCAGACACCGCTCTGCCGCTGTTTGTCCGCCCCTCCACGGAGACAAACTCCCTTGCTGCCTCGGCAGGCATTACCTGAAAACTGTCCCGCTTCCTGTCAACACAGATGGTTTTTGTCCCCCTGAACAGAGACTGCGGCCGTTCCCTGATGTACAGGACACTGACAGCTTCCCTGGACATCTTCTGGTTTTTCAAACCTGGTTACAAATTTGGACACGTAGCAATGGTAAATCCCAGGTTACGTGAGTTCAGCTTTTGTCTGCAGGACCATGGCAGCTCAGCTTGTATTCGTGGTTTAAAAATGCAGCACAGCAGTGGCAGAAAGTGTGTTGCAACACGAGGTGAGTATGTGCTGGGGCTTATGTACGCTCATCAGGAGGCAGTGCTGTAAATGGCTGTGAGCTGTCGTCCTCGTCCCTTGCAGGAGGATAAACCTCCGCACGGCCCTTGCCAGGGCAGGAGCGGGCGGGAGGGGATGGCACTTTGGCCGTGCTCTGGGAGCTGGGTTTGCAGAGAAGAGAGGACATTTCAGACTTTCTGTGGACATCCCCTTGGGAGCTTCATTTCCTTTAAACTCCCCAAAATGCAGGTGCTGTTTCTAAACTTCGTGCTGGAAGTATCAGGGGAACGGGATGCCTGAGTGCTTGCAGATTGGCTGCAGAATAGCTGTACAATTAGCAAGGTCCGGAGCAGCCGTCCTGAGCCCCTGGGAGCTTTTCTGAGAGGTCCTGGGACCCCAAGACCTCGCGCCAGGCACTGTGAGCGGGACATATGGAGCCTAGGCCCGGTGGTGTGCGGTCCCGTTGCAGTGGGTCTCCAGCTCTCCGGTACAGGACAGCAGTGTTGGGTTGCAGGGGAGTTCCTACTGAGCCAGACTTCTCACAATAATTAGAAAATGCTAATGCCTAATGCCCACCCTCCAGGGAATCCCTCTTCAAAGCCCTTGTGGGGCTGTGGCCATGGCTCCTCTGGGGAAGCTGCAGCTCCACAGGGGAACCACCCTCCTGAGGTGTCTTTCAAGTGGGAATGACTGTTTTTTCACAATTAGCTGGAGCAGAAATAATTAAGCAAGGCCACAGCCATTGTTATCTTGTACCTGATTGCCAGTGTTCAGTCTGGCAGGGATTATTTCATTGTACTCTTCTGCTAGTTTTTCATTTTCTTTTGCTAAAAAGCTGATAATATTTGCTCCTCCCATCACAAGGGATGTAGAAATCTGTTTTCAGAGGAGCCGCTCTTGCACCCAAAGTTGGTCTGTGGAGTTTGTGGGCAAATAAATCCCAGGAGGGGCTGCTAGGCTAAACAGAGAATATACAGAGGAGTGGCAGACTGGGCCTGTGGGCGGAAAGGAAGCAGCACAACACCATTTTCAAGGTACATTTTTCTGTTTGCATTTAACCTTTGTCTTTTTGTTCTTGAAGTGGAAACTGCGCTAATGTGTGTGGGAGGCTGGGAAGGCTGCTGGGAGGGGACGCATCCAGCAAGGGTGGATATCGCCATCCCTCTCTGGTCATGCTGAGCACGGCTTGAGAGAGCTGGGGGGCCCAGCCTGGGAGTTGCTAAGACTTCCACGTTTTTAGCATTTGCAATTTCCCTTTGCGCATTGGCCCAGCCAGGCTGTTTCATTCACATCCCACCAGAGTCTGGTGCAGCATTGTCCTTCCTCTGCGAGATGACTTTTGATAGCCAAGATGAATTCAATGCCAGTGGAACAGCGGGAAACGTTAACCCTTAATCCTCGGCTTGGGGGGCTGCCGAGCAGTAAGAGGACCCAGGTTGGGGTGGCAGGACTCTCCGTTGCAGGGAGGGATCTGCAGCTTCCCCTTGGCTGTCCACATGTGCGGGCTAGGACAGCCCACACTGCCTGGTCCCAGCGCAGGACACCTTCTTAAGATCTGCTGCCCTGCCAGTGTCCAGCCCCAGCTGGACGCAGAGAGATGCAAAGCGCAGCTGGTGATGGACTACCTGCTGCTGTAAGCAAGGGAAGAGAACCCAGGCTTGTCTTTCTAGAAAAGCAGTTCTGGGTTTGGATTTCTCTGCGCTGTTGCAAGTCAATTTAAGCCTTTCCCAAGAAGGAGGGATGGATTCTGTTATGCCTGACTAAGAGTTGGCACAAGGGCTTGCAGAAGTCAGGACAGCATGGCTGATTGGGATTTGTGAGGCTGCAAGTTACCCCTCTCCCACAGTCTGTGAGTGTTTACAGAGGGAGCAGGTTTCTGATGAAAGCAGACAAAAATGTGTATGTACTGAGGTCAGCTGGAAGCAGAAGCTAGATGAACTCAGGCTTTAGTGGAAGGGTCATTAACTGTCAAAACAGCTTGCCGGTGGCCGGCAAGCACCCTCCATCACCCCTCATCTCCCCATTTCCAGGCCGAGAGGCTGTGAGTAGTGGGCTGGTGCAGGAGCCCTGTGTGGGCTCTTGGATCTGCAAGGGTTCAACATCCTTACGTCCCACCTGGTGCTGAGATTGAGGAATCCTTTTTTGTCCCCTGCCAACCACACCACAATTCAACAAGGAAGAAATAAACACAAGAATGATTTATTTAGTTTAGTTTTTACAGAATATAATAAGCAGTCTCAATGTCATGCTCTGGACAAAAGCAGCAATTTTGCAACAATCTAATATGATAAACAGTGCTGTCACTGTCCCCAGACACATACTCTGGGACACATCTGTGCCGGCTGGCTCCCTGGAAGGTCTCCTGAGCCTGTGGCCAGGCTGGCGGAGGCTGGGCTTTGCCGCGAGCCGGGGAAGGGACACCTGGGAAGGATGCTCTGGTTGCTCAGGCATCACCTCTGGGAGAATTGCTCACAATTCTCAAAGGTTGTCAGAAGTCAGCTGGACATGGCCATGGCGGCTGGGCCCTACAAGGCTTCTGGCAGCCGGAGCCAAGCTCAGGCACATAGCCTGGGTACAGACCCTCGCTGCCCTCACTGCGCGCTGCCTCCGGACCACTCCCGTGGGGCACGGAGCCAGGCTGCTTCCCCATCCCCTGCCCCGGGCTTGGCAGAGGAGCTGGGCACTCCAGCCTCCTCTTGCCCAGGCACTCTTTCTGTGCTAAGCAGTTTGCAGATGTGATAATGAGACTCCTAATTTGCTTAGGGAAGAGATAAAGGGGAAAAAAAAGAAAAGAAAGAAACCAGACTGAGTGGTGGGCTGCCCTAGGAACCCGGATATTCCATTGCTGCTGATCTTGCCTCACCGTCCTGCCCCCCACCCCCTTCCACAGGACAGCCTGAACTAATTAACCCTCTAGCACTCCATAATGAAGGCTAATAAACACCTAATGGGTTTGCTTGAACAAACAACCTCTGCACAGGCCCTAGGAAACCCTCAGTCCCGTGGTGTGGTTGAAGACCAGGGAGCACAGGGCTGGAGCTGCCCTGGCTCCCCTCTCCTGCTCCCCTCCTGCTCCCCCAGCCTGAGATCCCCCAGCCCGAGGTCCCCCAGCCCGGTCCCGCTGTGCCTGGCTGCTTGCAGCTGGGGACCCTGCTCCGAACGGGCTTCGGGCCGCCCAGGCTCTCAGCCGGGAGTGCCAGCAGCCCTGCGCTGCTCCTCTCGCCGCCTTCCCAGGCAGGGTTTCTCTGCTTGTGCCCCAGTGCTGCAGCTCCTTCCAACCCTTGTCCTTCCCTGCCCACTCCCATCGCCCAACGCGGGGCTCGGTCCCCTTGGTCCCTCTTCGCCAGAAGCCATGCAGCTTGGCTGGCGGGGCGCTGGGCTTTCGGCGGGGCTTCTGCTCCGAGCATGAGCAGGGTCCTGCGCTGTGCAGACCTCTCCCCGCTCTGCGTGTTGCAGCAAGCATGGCGGAGTGCAAGCTGCAGAAACCCAGTGATGCTGTCCGGTGTTGTCCCTTCTTTGGAGACCCAGGTCATCAGTGTGGTGAAAACAAATCAGGCTTGTTCTTCCTGTGAATGCTGTGATCAGCATCTGGCTTGTGCATTGTAATACGTCCGCAGTCTTTTGTAGCTGGGTTTGTAAAGTAGTAAGAGCCCAGGCTCTGAAGGAAATACGCTCATAAATATTCAGCTTAAAATACTGTACCAGATGGGCCACGTTTTCCTAACCTTTAGCTGGTTCCAATGTGCAAACAGTTAAGATTGTAATGTTAACATTTTCTCAGATGTTTTATGTGCATATAAAATATTCTTAAAGAATGTGCTTTTGAATGCAAGGTTTTATCCAATTACAATTTTACTAGAGTTTATAAAAACATAAAAAATATGTTTTCAGGGTGCCTGAGATGGTGCTGTCCTGCGTAGTAAACTCTGAAGCCCTTGCAGTGGAATACAGTTGCTACTACATGGGAGATGTCTCCGGGATTTTTATGATTAGGCAAGTGTGCTAATTCTTCAGTCCTGTATCTGGTCACTTCTGAAAATGGTTAAAATGGGGACAGCTAAGAATAAATATGTTCCATCTCTGCACCAAAACCTTCTTTTGCTTTCTGTCGGGGGCTAAAGGCTTGGCTTCTTTAGACATGAAGGTTTTTTAATCAGGTACTAAAAATACAACTTCAGAGCTCAGGGCAGCTCTTCACTGGACTAAGTTGCTTAGCTTATCTTCCAGCGAGTGTACGAACAGATCTCCCTTATCCTGCATGGCGACTGCAGCCTCTTGTAGGCAGGCTTCCGGAGATGTTAAGTGAGAATATATTTCTTCCCTGGCTTAACTAAAAACCTGAATCAAGAAAGGAGATAAATGGAATTTAATGGACATTTGTGTAAAGACATCTACTGTTGTGCTTTTGGAATGGAAAAGATGGCAAACACTATAATCTCTGGGAATCTTTTAGGTTTGCTGTGTGACCATGAAGGCTAAGCATGGAAATGTTGATCGTGTAATCTGTCCGTTTCTGAAAGATCCACGTATTGCATTACAGGATTTTATGATTCCATGCGTAAGTAGTTCATAATTTTAACAGGCTTATTCCTGTTCAAAGATGGTGAATTAGAATAAGCCTGTTAAAATTATATAGCAAGTGTGGATGGAATCATAAAGAAAGGTAGTAAATTACTTGGTTAAAGAGAGAGAACCAGGCTCTGTCTACAAGCGGCACACCGTCAGCCGACCCGAAGCGACTCAGCCCCTTCCAACAGACCACGGTGCTGTTGAGGGCTGCGCCTTCAGGAACCCGTCCTTGCCCGCACCGCTGCTGCAGACAGGGACAGGAAGCCCTGTCCTGTGCTGGTACCGAACCCAGGCCTTTCCGCCTGGACACCCCGTGAAGGTCACGCAGCAGCGTGTTTGCAAGTTGGGAAGCTTAAAACAGTTGTGTTAGCTGCACGCAGTTACAGCGTTGTGTGGAAGCTCACACACCTCCAAGGAAAACAGGGATGCATAAAGCCAGGGGGTCTGGACAGCTTGCCTGCCCATGCCTCTGTCCTGGGGTGCTGTTTTTCAGGGACTGCCCCCCCCAGCCCCCAGTGCCACGGTGATTGCTTCAATGCCATTGACACAGGGCAGCAGCTCGTTCCCGGCGCTGGGGAGAGGTCAGGGAGCTGGCGGAGGCCAAGTGCCTGGGACACTGCACGGAGGTCAGCAGAGCAAACCCTCACAGCCCCCAGCCCCTTTGCATGTCCCCAGAGCCCCGGGCGCGACCCCAGCCCCGCTGGCAGGAGCCCCTGGCTCCACACCGGGACGCTTCCTGTGGGACCGGCCATGCAGGCAGCGACGCTGCTGCCCAGTGAAGGTGATTTGAACTGGTACTGGTGGGTATCTCGCTCAGTGTTTACAGAGAAAAGACAAGTGCCAAGAACAGGATTGTATTTGTTATTTGTGAGTCAGACCAGTGTTGATCTGAGGGCTGCAGGTCCTGCCTCTGGGAAGCACCAAATGTCACTGCTGCCTGCAGACACTCTTCTCCTTGTGTCACCACGGGCTGGGCAGTCTCTGCAGCCGCTCTGAGCGTGGGGTGCTGGTGGCAAAGGTCCTGCGTGCTGCCAGGCTGCACAGTCCCGCTCCTCCTGCCGAGAGTTGTCATCAGCGGCGCTGAGTCTAGTTGGAGGCTGGTAACAAGTGGTGTCCCCCAGGGGTCAGTACTGGGCCCAGTCTTGTTTAACTTCTTCATCAACGACCTGGATGAAGAGTTAGAAGGTACCCTCAGCAAGTTTGCTG